GGTTGTCCTTTTCTCCACTTCAAGTGACTGCCAGAGCCCTCCTCCCATTGGCGGGTGTCTAACTCTTATTTACCCCCTAGTGGGAGAAAATTACAACAGACTTGTGGGTTCTGAATACCTTAAGATTTGGCTTAACTCTGGAATGTCTCTCCATTCGTCCGAGGCACTTCATCTGTTTCCCCATCTCTATGAACTCCACCAAGAGGGATCTATGGACATGGCAATTCAATACCTACTGGACATCCAGGCCATCGAGCCAGTTCCGGAAGATCATTTACTGAATACTCTTCCTAGTTCCAAAGTCCTCAGTGGGGATGGGGAGCAATTCTGGACCTCAAAAAATTGAACGTCCATTTGAAATACAAGAGGTTCAAAATGCATTCTCTACAGTCAATCTTGGATGGCATCAGGTTGGATGACCTCCTGACTTCCATCGACTTGACAGCCTACCTCCACATCTCCATCCTCCCCCTGCACCGATGGTACCTCAGATTCTGTTACTTGGGCCATCATTTCCAGTACAGAGCTCTGCCATTTGGCCTAGTCTCTGCTCCCAGGTCCTTCACAAAAGTTCTACCAGCACTGGCCGTGCACCTAAGGACAATCCCAGTACATCTCCAGTGCTACCTGAATGACATCCTCATCCAGTCTTCCTCGACCCAGCTAGCTCAGAAGGATCTGGAAACGACAACCTGTGATCTTCAGGAACATGTATTTTCCATCAATTTTCAAGAGTCATCTTGTACTAACGACTCGTTTGCTCTATCTAGGAGCAGTTATAGACACCAGGTTGTGTGAGATCTATCTTTCCCAGGAGCGACAGGACAGCATCAAGTCCTTAGACAACCAAATCAGGACAGAACAATTCATTCCGTTGGCCTTACTCACACAGCTCCTGGGAAAGATGGTCTCTTGCATAGTCATAGTACCTTGGGCCCGATCACACTTAAAAACCCTGCAATGGTTTCTGCTACCATTCCAGAGGGCGGGGGCAGCAATTCCACCTCCAAAGTCAGGATACCATTAGAGACACTCAGGTCCCTCAGGTGGTGGGTGTTCCCAGCATTAGCCAAGGGAACACTGTTCAAGGAGCCCAGCCACCTGACTTTGACCTCAGATGCCAGCCTGTTTGGATGGGGAGCCCATCTCCAGCACCAGTTGGCTCAAGGACAATGGTCTCAAGCAGACCTAAAGAACAACATAAACTGGCTGGAGCTCCGAGGAATCCACCTCACCCTCCAACACTTCCAGACCACTGTAGAAGGACAACACATACTGATCATGACAGACAACATGGCCACAAAAGTGCACATTAACTGCCAAGAGGGCATCCACTCAAGGTCCCTCATGCGCGAGATGGACCAACTATTTCTCTGGGCAGAGGCTCATCTGAGTTCCATCAAGGCCGAGCACATCTCAGGGGCAACAAATGCACAGGTGGACTTTTTCAGCCAGACCACGGTGGACCACTCTTGAGTGGCAGTTGCACCCAGACATCTTCCAGGAAATGTGCAAGAAATTCAGCCACCTGGTCCTGGACTTGTTCGCCATCCCGACGAACTCTCAACTGCCCAGATACTTCACGAGGTTTCCGACTCCAGCAGCAGAGGGAGTCAACACCCTCTGCTGCCCTGGCCCAAGTGGCTATTATATGCATTCCCTCCTCTTCCCATCATACCAAGAGTTATAGGAAACTTCTAGCAGAATAGGCAGAGATATTACTCATATACGGCCATGGTATGCAGACCATCTGTGTCCTGGTTTTGGAGAATCCATCAGGATAGGGTCTCACTCAGCCAGGGGATCTTGGTCCACCCAGAGCCTCAGTGGCTCCAACTGACCACCTCGTACTTGAGAGGAGGATCCTGATGAGGGACAACTTTTCAGGGAAGGTGATACAAACAATCCAAGCTTCCAGGAGGCCTTTCACCAATAGAATTTATAACTCTTAGTTGCAAGGCATTCTGCAGTTGGTGTACTAGGTTGGGTCTGGATCCCACGTCTGTCTCCATTTCACAGATCCTGGACTTTTTACAAGAAGGTCTAGAAAAAGGGTTAGCCAAAAACTTTATCCAGAGACAAGTGGCTGTCTTGTCCTTGGTGCTGACTTATGTGGACTTGGAATCCATAGTGTACCATCCGGTAGTGTGTTCTTTCCTAAGGGGGGCGGTTAACATGAAACAGCCTGTTATATACAGGTACCCAACTTGGGACTTGTCTAAAATTCTACACGCTCTCACCTTAGCACCTTTCAAGCCACTTAGGTCTACAAGTCTGCGATATCTGTCATTCAATATTGCTTTTTTAGTGGTCATCACCTTGGCCAGGCAAATTTCAGAACTGGCCGCTCTCTCTGTAATAGAGGAACTTTGCACCTTCCACGCAGACAGGGTAGTTCTACATCTGGATCCTTCCTTTGTCCCCAAGATCAACTCCTGGTTTCACTGAGCCCAGGAGATAGTGCTGCCAAACTTCTGTCCAGGACCTTCTCATATGCTAGAACAAAAATGGCACACTCTGGACGTGAGGAGGGTACTGTGTAGATGTATCAAATGAGCTTCACCTCACTGTAGATCTGAATTATTGTTTGTCTCGTTCCAACTGTCTTCTCTAGATTTAAAGGACAGTTCATTGACCATAGGCCGTTGGATAAGGGCATGTATAGCCAAGGCCTATGAGATACAGTCTATTCCTGTTCCCAGAAGATTAACCACCCATTCTACTAGAAGCGCTACAATTACAGCTGCATGGGCAATGCAGGCCTCGATTGAAGAGATCTGCAGGGAAGTGACATGGTCCTCACCATCTCCCTTTGTACGCCACTACAAGCTGGACACCTTTGCCTCGGCTGAGGCTGCCTTTGGCAGGTGGGTGCTCCAGCGAGTGCATATCAATAGGGAGACTCAGGTCCATAGGGACAGCCAGGTTTTGGTATGTCCCATGTATGGATTCTCCAATCGATGTGCTGGAGAAAGAGCGTTATCTTACCTGAACACTTCTTCTCGGCATGATGATGGAGAATACACTCCCCCCCGGAGATCGTCAGGTCCTTTGTCTAGGACAGGAAGAGCCAATGCCAGCAAAGAATCCTTCAGATGACTGTGCCTTCATCGTAAACTGGGAAAGTGACAGTTGACAAAGGAGCATGGTAAAATTTTACGGACTCAGTCTCCGGGCAGAAAGGCATATGTCAAACTCATCTGTGGATTCTCCATCGTCATGCCGAGAAGAAGCATTCAGGTAAGACAATGCTCTTTTTATATTAGGTTACTTGGTTATACTAAACTGTAGTGCAATGTTTGTTTTTTCAGGAAAATGCATTAACTGATTAAATATTACTTTCTGATAGAAAATCTCAATGAATACAAGAGAGTATTCAAGTGCTATGATTTTTACAAAAAAATATACAGATAGTCTTAAAATGCTTCTAAAACGGGTGGGATTCTATCTGGTCGGACCGGTTCTAGAGAAACAGTTGTTATGATTCTTCCCAGTTCGGAGAATCGGCAAATCGTGCCACTGGCTGGCTCCGCCCCACCCCTCCCCGCCCACTCATGCCTTTCTTGGCAAACTTGCGTGTTAAGTTCCCCCTGGCCATCAGCTGTTCTGCTGTGCCAGGAGATTTAGATTAGCTAGAATTGCTTTCTAGCTAATCTAAAAGTAGAGCTGAACCTTCCTTAGGACCGAAGCTTTTATTTTTCAGTGCAGATTCAGGTAGTAGATTGCCAAATGGTAGATCTGTGAGTGAATCTGTGATTCTGTGAACAACTCAATCTGCCTGCCTGCTTTGCCTGATTTTGGGTAAAAGTTGCTCTTTTTTAAATAAAAAAATCAATATTTACATCAATATTTACAATATTTACATACAAGCTACACCCAGTCAGTCACATGATCACCAAGCTACACCCACAAATTAGGCCACCCCCACAGTACTGGTTGTTGAGACATTTGAATCCCACCCATTCTAAAAGCTATTCATGCCCAGAAGTATTAAAATTCTGGTGTGAATATTATACTATAAGAAGTTTGAGTATTTTGTTGCTAAATTGATTATTATTATATGAACACTACAATATTTTCATATACTAATATAAACCCTGAAATATTTATATGACAATAATACAGTTTACTTATAAATCATATATTTCATTTCAGACAATGTCATTTGCTAAAAGTCTTATTGATTAGTCCTGATAGTTTTACAGAATTTTTTTTTCTGAGCACATAAAATTTGAGGAGCTGCTGTAGTCCCACAGGATATAAAATAAAGCTGTCTGTAGATAAAATTGTTCTGAATGTTTCAAGCAGTTTGAGTTTTTATAAGGACGCAAAATACCTGCACCTTAACCCCTTAAAACATTTAGTAGCGTGTGTGTATGTGTTTACATATAACACACACACACAGAGAGAGAGAGAGAAAGAGAGAGAGAGATACACATCATCAAAGTCTGGATTGCTTTTTATATCTGTGTACTTTTTCCCTAAAATATGTTATCCTCTGACATAAACAGATGCTGCTTTAACAATGCAATACATTGTGTATCATAAAATTATCTCTATTTTAATCACAGATACTCACTTAATGAGACACAAGCAGGTTCCATAAAAATGGATTTAGGAAGAGATTTAGTGTTTTGTTTTTGCCACATTATAGAAATATGGTAGCTTATGCTCTAAAGTAAATTGTACCTTGTGTGTAATAATTTTTTTTCTCTTAAATCTATTTTAGTTTGAAAAAATATTCTACTTTTTGTTTCAAATACAAGTAACCATTTTTTAAACTTGCAGGGAAGCAATTAATTATCGAAATGATTTTAGTTGCAGGGAAAAAGTAATTTCATTATTGTTTTATTCACTTTTATGTCACTTACTTTATTCTATTGTATTTTATTCTGTTTTATTTTAGTGTGCCTGACACCCATTATTTCTTAATGTACTGAATTGACTAATCAATAAAGCTATACAATATAACATTGCTTTATCAATCTTTGTCATTTAAGGTAAGAAGGAGAACTATTTGCATGTATATTCAAGAAAACTGATCTAGCACAAATACTGGTAGAAAATGCAGTTAATATTTTATTTTTGAAATAATATTGCAGATATTTCAAATATGTTCCCTTTCTGTTGCTGTATTTGTTTAATTCTTATTTCTCTCCTTTTTAAAGTCTGTGAATACACAGATAGAATAACTTCTTGCCTAATGTTGAATTTGTTTACTTGACTTTTTTAAATTATTAGATGCAGCAAAATTGTACTGTACTTGAGGCAAGGGGAGGTAAGTGTTTTTATATTGTGTTTTTTAATTCAACTGAACCCAGCAGAGTTAAATGTAGTTTGGAAGCACAGGGAAGAATTAATGATTGGAAGATACAGAGTTGGTAAATTATTTATTCTGGCCCCGAGGAAGCTGAAAAGCAGAGTGAAAGACTAATAAATCATTTGTGGTAGTGCTGGTTGTCACTTCCAATTATTTTAGACGGTTTTGTGATAAACTGCGACACCTGCTAGATATCCCAACACCATCCCTTGATGCTGGTAGCACAGTTTATTCAGTTGATTATCAAAGGCAAGTTTATCTAAACTTTCTATATGTTAAATGAAGAATTTCTGGTTTTCCCAACATTCATTTCTCTAGATGTCTTAAAGCATGTTGGTGCAACTTTGCATTCTTTCTATTAATGCTAAGTTTCCCTAAACTCTGTCCAGGAATGAAAGGATTTATCTCCTTTTGCAGTAGCATGTATTTAAAGTTACAGATTATATTAGTAATTTCATTTTATAGTATTCAAGTAAAGAATGACAACTTTTTTCCTGTCTCTTAACATTTGGGGAAATTGAAAATGACTTATGACTGAGATTTTACAAATTGTAGTGTGTACATAAGAAATGCCAAAGTATTTATATATTTTGGCATTCTCATGTACAGAGTACAATTTGTATGAAATAAAATTTATATTTTATTCCCTTTGAATGTTTAAAGAAAGTTATTTTTTAAAAAAAACCATGCAAAGGGCATGTCATATTGTTTTCATTTCTTTTCAGAAATGAAATTTAAAAAAAAATCAGAATAGATTGAAACTCTGATTTTTGCAGAAGTTATAAAAACAGGATTAAAATGTCATGTGTTTAAAGTACGAATGGTCCTTGTTTAGTGACCATTTATTCAGCACCAAGTCAAACTTACAATAGTGCTGAGAGAGTTGTACTTAGTATTGGTTCTTGAAATTCTAGCTATTGCAGTCTCCCTGACGTAATGTGATTATGATCTGGTTGCTTGTACCTAGCTCACAATGAAGATCTTGCAGCATTCCACAGTCATTTGATGGCCATTTGCAACCTTCTTTGTCAGCTTCCTACAAACAGTGGGGAAGGTTCCAAATGGTGACCATGTTATGTCCTTGCTTAATGACCTATAGTGATATGCTTAATGACAGTAATTTGAAGTGCTAGAATTTCTGCACTATGCAATGAGATCACAACATTACATTCACTTTGCAACTGAAATTTCTAACATCATTGACATCATAAATCAAGGACTTTCAGTATATGGAGGTTGTATACAAACCATACCAAGAAAACAGCTTTAAAATCACAATAACAAAACATTCAAATTGGGAAAAATGTAGGAGTGTTTCAATAGGGATGACTACCACTTCAAAATGTATACTGATATTCTAGTTTTTATTTTTTATTAGTTGTAATCTAACAGAAAGAAAATTAAAACAAAAGAACAAAAGTAATTACACAGAGATAACAAAATAGGTGACCCTATGGTAAACTTATAAAATTATGTGAAAGAGCCAGTGATTATCAAACTTCTTAATATTTTTTGCCCAAATAAAGATATGATATGATATTTCTGTCTGGCACATAATAGACATTTTCTTTAGACTCTTCCCAAGGTGAATAAACTTCAGCACAAAATAAAATGTTAGATTTTGTGAATGTTAAAAATAGTCTTAAACAGAATATATGCACATATGAAGACTGCTTTCAGAAGGCAGTTGATCTGAAAATGGTTAAAAGAAAGTAGAACAAATTATATAACAGAGCTGCCAATGGTTGCTCTGTATCAACTTGTTTTTGGAATAACCACACATGAGTGTTCATAGCTATGTCTATTCCTGGTACATTAAATTAAAAAAACAGGGAGAAAGAAAATTGGCAGGTACGTACAAACAGTATGGGAAACCATTTGAAATGAACCATTATCATTTCTCTGTTTGGAGAAACTCATATACTGTAATAATTCTACTACAAATGGGTAGCATCCCGCACAGAATAATAGTGTTGGAAAAATCCTCTATTCCAACTCCTTTCTGGTTTAACATGTAATCGAGAATAAATCTTAGCTAGAACTTTGCTTATAATAATATATCTCCCATCAACAAATGAAAGAACAGAAGAGCCTGGCTGATGAGCCAAGCCATATTTATAACTTCTGATATCCAGAAGCCTGTAGGAACTCACAAATATGAATAACAGAATAACATAGTTGGAAGAGACCTTGGAGGTCTTCTAGTCCAATTCCCTGCTCAAGCAGAAAATTCTATACCATTTCAGACAATGGCTGTCCAATCTCTTCGTAAAAATCTCCAGTGAATGAGCACCCACAAATTCTGGAGGCATCCAGAATATCCAGATTAATTATTCTAATTGTCAAGAAACTTTTTCTTAGTTCTAGGTTGGTTCTCACTTTGATTGCTTCTTGTTCTGCCTTCAAGTGCTTTGGAGAATAGATTGACTCTTTCTTCTTTAAGGTATCCTTTCAAATATTGGAATGCTACAAGCATGTCACCCTAGTCCTTCTTTTTACTAGACAAGAGATCACCAATTTCTACATATTTTAGCCTCTAGCCTCTCTAATCATCTGTGTTGCTCTTTTCTGCACTCTTTCAAGAGTCTCAACATCTTTTTTATATTGTGGCAACCAAAACTTGATGTAATATTTCTAGTGTGGTCTTACCAAAGCATTATAAAGTGGTATTAGTACTTCACATGATCTTGATTCTATCTCTCTGTTAATACAGCCTAAGAGGACTTTACCCTATACCTGTGTATCTGATTTTTCTTACCTACATGTAAAACCTTACCCTTGAATTGTATTTTGTTAGATAGGACCCTGTGTTCAAGTCTGTCAAGATACTTCTGGATCTTGAGCCTCCCTTCTCAGATGTTGGCTATTCATGCCATATTGGTGTCATCTGCAAATTTGATGAGTTCCCCCTCCATCTCCTCATTTAAATTGTTTATGAAGATGTTGAAGAGTACTGGACGTAAGACAGAACCTTGGGCTACCCCACTACTTATTCCCTCTCGGTAGATGTAGTTTCATTAGGGACTTCACATTGAGTGCAGTTGGTCAGCCAGTTATCTCATGGTGATGCTGTCTGTCCCATATTTTTCTAATTTATCAAGAAGTAGGTTCTTGTGTACTTTACTGAAATCCAAGTATACTATGTCCACAGCATTTCACTGGTCGACTAATTTAGTCACTTTGTTAAAGAATGAAATAAGATTTGTTTCATGTGATCTGTTTTTGACAAACCCATGTTGGCTTCTGGTTATAATTTTGTCTGCTTCTAGATGTTTGCAGTTCTGTTGTTTAGTTATCTTTTCCAAGATCTTTCCAGGTATTGATGTCAGGCGGATTAGTCTGTAGTTTCCTGGATCCATTTTTTCTCTTTTTTTGAAGATAGGAACCACATCAGCTCTCTTCCAGTCCTCAGGTAATTTCCTGGTGCTCCAGGACCTTAGAAAGATATGGTTCAATGGTTCCAAGATTACATCTGTCAGCTGCTTCAGAACTCTGGTCCTAATGATTTGAACTCATCTAGGGTGGACAATTTAATTCCAGTACACAACTATAAATTTATCTTTTTCAGAAAATCAAGTATGTGTACAATGATTGAGATATTTATTTGATTTGGATCCAAAACACCCATATTTAAAGTTATATGAGTCTTTTGTGTGTACAAAATTAGTGCCCCTTTTTTCCCAGACTTGGGCCCAGCACACAGGTCCACAGTGTGAACTGGGGCAGACTCTGTTGTGATTGGACTGTATATATACCCTTTTATATAATTTTATATATGTTTCAAAAAAAAAAAAAAAAAAAAAACTTAAGAGAGGCCCAGTGGCAGTAGGACACAGACTAGCCTGAGAGAAAGCCATTCTAGGGAAGTCTCTGCTTTCCAATCTGCAGCCAGAGGAGCAGCAAAAAATAAATAAAGACCAAAGCTGTTGCCTCCAGGAATCCCTCCAGAGCTGAGGAAAGGAGGCATAGGGCCTTGGAGAAACTCATTTCCAGAAGTCAGAAGGAGAGGGAGAGACAGAACCCAGTATCTTCCATCTTAGGAGATGAGGTATTTTCCCTCCAAAATGTCTTCCCCCTAAGTCTCCAACATCTCAAGAGACAGACTTAGTTGCCAAAATCTCTCCAGATGGCGCAAGGGAACAGGCTTTTCTGCCTACTCAAGAAGGGAGCAAATCTGCCTCTGACCCATAGCAACAGCAATTGTTGGTACTTGGCAACAATCTATCCCTAGACAGAGGCCTGTTGCTGAGGCCTCATATACTCCTACTGCTGCAGGCCTTCCCACAGAGGAGGAAGACATTTCCCCTGCCATCAAGCACCTTATCTCCCAAACCATCAGGTGGGAGTTTGCGGAAGGGTTTCCACGCCTGGGCAGAAACCCTTCCATCTACTCTGATTACCATGAAGATGGCAGATTATTAGAAGTCAGCTTAGATCTACAGGACTTGCAGGAACACCATGCAAGGGGGCGTTCGGATCATAATGGGTCTTCAGTTTCAGAGGAAGGTGAGGTGCAAGATCAGGACCACTCTGAGGATAAGGGCCTTAAACCAGAGTTACCTGTGCTCACAGGTCTTTTCCACCCCACATTATTCAAGTCCCTGTTATATAAGGCCAAGAATGCTGCCCACATGGAGTCTGATTCCGGCACAGAGACAGTAAGGAGACTTCGGCTCCATGGACACGCTTTTTACAGAAACCATTATGCAGATGGACATTATTCTACCACCAAAGTTGT